CGTCCACTTTCCCCAAAATGGTACTCGTCCACTTTCCCCATCTGGTACCCGTCCACTTTCCCCATCTGGTGCACGTCCACTTTCCCCTATCTGGTACACCTACATTTTCCCCGTGCCTATTAGTTACCGGCTTTTACAGCAGAGGCATTACACTAAGCACAGTGACCCTGCTGGTGAAGCGAGATGCGACCTGTGTATTTCCTACTCAGAAGTGACACCCAAGGGGATGAAAGAAATGTTAGAGGAGAACAGTGTCAACCCACGTTCTCTCCAGTGCCAAAGGTAGAAATGACATTTGCCCCAGACCTTTAATTTCCTTTTAAAAAATTATTTATTCATGCATACAAGAACTGGGGTGTAGGCCAGTGGTGCAGCAAGAGTGGGGAGCAGACCAGGCAGATCTACTGAAAAACATTGCTGAGGGGAGAAGCGGGGAGGCAGGAGAGGTCTGCTGTGCCCTGTGGGTCACTCCCCGGCCTGGGATGTGACTCACACTGCAGTGACTTCACAGTGCTGAGACAATCCCTGAACCCCAGGGAGACCTTCGTTTCCTTTTTGATACCTGGCCCCAAAACAGTGTTCTCACCTAAACACAGCATTGCAATTGTAATTCTACAGCCTTGTTGAATAAAAATAAAGGGAAGCCTTGGGGAAGAGGCGGGAGCTCTGTGTTTCAGCACCAGAGGCGTTGAAGGCCATCTTCTCCGAAGAGTCACTCTGGCTAACTGCACTCTATGTTCACAGACGGGCAGTCTGTCCTGAGATCACACACTGCAGGGAAAGACGTGAGGTGCCCACACCACCGCCCTGCAGGATGCGGCAAGCTGTGCAGGGACAGGGCTCACGTGCCGGGTCCTCGGCAGGCGCCCAGTGGCCCATGGAGGACAGGTGATCTGACAGTATCTCAGTCCTCTGGAAAGCCAGGGTGGGCTCCCGTCCTCTAGGCTCCTCAGAACTTCTGGTCACATAACAGAGGCCACATCTAGCACCTAAGCTATGTCCATCCACCCTGGCTATGGCATAAAAACACAGCTACAGAGAAAAACAAAGGCACTTCATTTTTCAACATTCTTCAGTACAGCCTTTCCATGATGTCATGCTTCCTACGCTCAGATTTTTATTTAAGAAATTCAAAGACAACTCAGCTACAGTCCAGGTATATGAACTATTTTATTATCAAGTACAGTAGAGCAGAAAGTGACATCATGTTGCCAACACGGACGATAATGTCACATTAATAATATACACTGTTATGCTCAGGCCACTTCTCAGAAGAATATTCTAGCCAGTGGGCAAAGCTGCCCGCACAAATGCATCCCCAATGGTTAAGTGCTTGTTTCGAATCTTCCTTCCCACCATGCACAGAAGGAAAGGGGAGGGGCAGGAGATGCCACTTGGCATGTGAGAGCCAAACAGCTGGGAGCAAAACCTGCCAAATGTGCAGTCATGTGTGACTGAGACGGTCTCAGCAGCGTGGCCCCTCTCAAGGTCACACAAGCTGGGGCAGGAGGCGCCAGTGTCCGCCCAAGCCTCTGGATCAGGCCCGCCACATGTGTGCCAACACTGTGCCCATCTCGGAGTGAACCCTCCAGTCACCTGCCCACAGGCACCCAGCTTGATCCCCCAGTGATGCTCGCCTGATTCACAGACAGTGACTCTTAGGTTCTGACTTTCTAGGAGCACGACCAAACTGTTTACCAGGAAAGTACAGACAGACAGAAATTACATGTCTCCAAAGAGATGTCTACCCGAGCATCCTCTGAAAAGAGCAAGAAGGAACCCTAAGTGAGCTACAGCTTTCTTGAGCTTCAAGTTCACGGAACTAACCAGAAATACCCTGGAACAAAGGCACAGGGCGTGATGGCCTGGGACAGCACTCCCCAGACAAACGGTGCCCACAGCCAGCCGGACCTGCGAGGGATGCAGATGCTTGGCCTGGTCCTCAAGGTGATTCTGATGATGCCCACGGAAGGTAGCGCATTAATGGGGGGGGGGGGGGCGGGGAACAAGGATGAGGGCACAAAATATTAATAAAGGCATTTAAATTTTTTAAATATATACACACTTTTAGGTTCAAAGGGGAAAACAGACATGCAGAGCTACCTTGGAAAAAAGCCCAGTGGAATTCAGTCAGGTGCTAAAGGTGCCCGCACAGACCAAGCGCCAAGGCTGACAGGCATTCAGTAAGTCACATACCTGCGTTCCCACTTCTGATTTTTTTTTCAACGTGGCGCCTAAGGCCGAATTTCCGCTGAAGTGCTAGAATCCTTCAATATAAAGTTCAACAAGTGGTTTCAATACAATACAGAGACTCACCCTGAAGTGACCTGGGCCTTTCCCAACTACTTGTTAAACGAAAAACTGTTTTAAACAAAGCCCAAGTCCCTGTTTTAAAGCAGTTCCTTACTAGGCAGGCGCCTGCAGCTCCTAGAGCGCCCAAACACCTGCACAGGTCGGGTCTGCTGGCAGTGAGGGCAGGAGGCGTGTCTGGCCCACACCCCACAGAGCTGGAGAGGGGAACTGAGGCCCTCGCGGCCCAGCCAGCTGGTGACACCGGCACTTATCACAGTGAGAGGCTACCAGTCTGTAGTCAACCAGCTGGGTGCAGGTCCCCACTGAGCCCCGGAACGGGCAGCCTAAAGTGCTTACGTTGAGCCCGAGGCGTCAGCGCCCGGTCTCCCCCAGCCATTTCTAACAAGGGTTAACAGGCTCGCACATGCAAGCACGGGACTCCATAAAAACCGTTTTCCCAATACTGCTACCAACCACAGCGCAGCGCTGGGGACACACAGCTGAGCAGTCCACCCACTGACCACAGCATCTGGAACGTCACTCCTGCTCAGAATGGATGCGCTGGCAGCCTGGCAGGGCGGGCGACTCCGGCAGCCAGGTCTGCAGACTGCGGAGGGCAGGTTTCCACACCTGTTCATCCCCATCACGCCCCACCGCGTCTTCTATCACCAGCGCAAGCGCAAGGTGCCCCCTGCCACTCAAAGGGCATGGTCCCTGCGGCCTCGATGGGCCCTGCGAACAGGACCTTCGGGTTCTAGGCCAGTGACTGTTTTGTGTCAAAACTACATTGTTCAAGCATTTTACTCAGCAGATGACAATTTGAACTCATTCAGCCTTAAAAAGCATTCTGTTGCCTTGTGCTACACCCCTGCACAGAACAAATGCCAGCATTTGGTGACAAGGGACAAGAAAAAATTAGCAAGGTCTCAATTTAGTCCACATATATGACTTTATTCTCTCCCCCATGAAAACCGACATTAGATACTGAATGATTAGTTCCTAATAACTGCAGGCTTAAATCAAAAAAAGAACAATCTAAATTGCTACTGGCAAACCTCTTTCATACCTATTTAAATGGGGAAAAAATGAGTATTTCATGCAAACTGAATTACATTAAATCATTAACCACCAATGATCTGAGGGAATCTCAGAGTCTGATTTTACACCAGACGGGTATGAGCAGCCACATGTTTGAATGCCACCGAGGATACTTTCTTTTCATGCTACAGACGCTTGAGTGATAAATAAAACTGATGCCAAAAAAAGTAATCTATCAGAGGTTTATAACATCAAGACATATAGGGAATTGCCTTTATAAAAAGAACGTGGCCTCCTCTGGTGGCTCTACGTTCATGTCAGCACTAGGAAGTCAGCCTCAGGCTCTCCCGGCCAGGGCGCCCACTCGTGCTGCAGACCACTCCTGTCTCCTGCTGCTCCCCTCAGCAGTGGGTTTCAGTCAATCCCCCTGTTCTGCTCCCCATTCTCTTTGGTGAATCCTCTCCCACACACACACACCCCCACACCTCTGGGCCAATACCCCGGCTCTTGTATGCATAAATAATAAATTTAAAAAAGAAAGAAAGAACAAGACATGAAGAAAAGGTTGAGAGGACTAGCAAGTTACACGTAACCCAATTCCAACAGCCAGGCTGTTTTGCTTTGTTATTATAAAGCCATGAAAATGATGCAATCAGTGTTGTTAGAGGGCTTCAAATACAGAAACTCAGACTCAGAAGTACTCTGATTTACCACCCAACTCTCAGTGCCCATGTGAAGACACTGAGGCCCAGAGAAGCCAAGTGACTTGCTAAAAGTCAAAAGCTGCCTGACGTTCAGAAAGCTCAGAACGGTTGGTGTGTTGCTGTTTTCAGCTCATCTACAGCCAAAAATATCCAATTAATTCCAGGAAAAGCTAATTTTAGTCACTGTGGCCCTGGAACCCAGAAAAGAACACACCTACACCCTAACAAACTTCAGAAGACAGAGCTGTAAGATCGGGTCCGCTGTAATTCACAGTCTAACATTCACCCACCACCACATACTCGAGGTTCCAAGCGACTTGAAGAAAACCTTCCGCAATAAATTAAAATTAAAAGACAGATGCCAAATTAATCCTTTAAGCTACCTGTCCCCACCCTCCGATGCACATCAGGACCACCTCTGACTTCTTCCAAAATGCCCACCCAGAGCCAGTCCGTGGGGCCTCTCACTTGCGATGGGCTTCTCTGCCGTAGGGCTGACGACTGCACGGTTTCAGGTGGCGTTTCCAACAATTTCCTGATTCTGTAACCCCACAGACAGGTATATATCCAATTCTCCCTACTAAGACCACTGAGTTTCATTTCACAAATGAAGCCGAGCGTGCACGGGGCTTCCTGCTCCACCACGGCAGCCTGTCTTCTCCCGCCAGCAAGGAGTACAACTGAGTCGCGAACCTGAGCCTCTGACTGAAGACAAGGAAGGCGTGCAACCGAATGCTAACCAGGAGTCTGGGAACACACCGAGGCGGTCACACCAGGAAATGCATGAAGCAAAGAGAGCTTACATCATCCACCCTCCCAGCGCGTGGTGTAAGGAGGTTTTGCTAAGATATTAACTTCAGTAAGAGGGTATTTCCCATTTACATCATCTATAAATACCCCTAAGTTTATACCATGTGGTTAAAGGAAGATTCTGCAGCTCCCCAGGGCAACGGCAGAGAAGGCTGCAGTGTTTCTGGGCGCCTCGTTTGCCTGATGCATGACTGGGGAAGGCGCCTTTCCCGCCACCAGCCTAAATCAGCTTTACATTTGCATATCCAGGTTTACTCAGCGATGTTCCACTTCGGAGTCACAGGTGGTTGCTCAGTAAATCAAGGGCTCCCAGAAGATTCGCTTTTATGACGCTTGTTGAAATTTACAGCCCCAGTTTTGCATGTTTGAATTCAGATGACTCCAAGTTGATCCCAAAATTATAAATCAAAGTCTCTCCGAAGAGTATTACTCTATTTTAGCACTTTTACAGCTTACTCTATGTCGAATGAAGTGCTATTTCCATGCTTTCTATAAAAAATCCAGCAAGAATTGTAGCAGGACTGCTTTCTGCAGACAACTCATCCCTTTTATAAAAGGCCAAATACCTTCCAGCCTAATTTAAATTAACATGTTTATATGCTCAACCCTGGTGTCCCAAACAAAAGCCAAGGCACGTTGGCAAGCACCTCTCTCTCCAAAATCAAATACACACACAGGCACTTGTGCTCGAGCACTGGCCAACCGATTAATTCTAATCTAGAATGACAGGGCCAGCTTTGATCCAATAACAGATAATACTCCTGTGAGCAGAAATCATAGAGGAGCGCACAGGCTTTGGAATCAATCGGACCTGGCTTCGTCCTCGAGGTGTGACTTCAGGCCTCAGTGTCCCCCTTCTGAGAAAGGGAGCTATTGGCCGGGCTGTGGCTTCCCTTTGTCCCAGGAGGCTGGATGATGGCTGCGAGGCACTTCCACAGTGACTACTCCATAAACAGGAGCGGTTACTAGGGCAGGGCCGAGCCCCCTCCCCCCCACCCCAAACACGAAGCAAAACTCCCCCGTGAAGCACAAAGGAGGAGGTCAGTGGACAAGGTCTGGCTCTCATCTTCACCCCTGGCTCCTCCAGCGAATGAATGAGCGTCTAGGAGCGGTCTGCACGTAGCCGCCTCGCCAGACTCTCCCCTGCCGACTTTCAGGTAATTGTGTCCCCCCACTCCCCCCGACAATTACACGCCCACGGGCCCCCCAGAGCGCGGCTCTCGGTCGCGCAGATGCCCGCGGGACGCCGCGTCCAGCGAGCCTCCGGAACCCGCAGGCGGCCTCCATTCATTCTGCCCTACCCGACCCCTCTGCCCGAGCCCCGCGACGCCCCCACCCCCCGGCCCTTGCCCTCCCGCCGAGGGTCCCTCCCCGGTGCCACGGCACCCCGCGTGACCCTGTCACCCCAACAGTGAGGGGCTGGCGAAGGGGCCCAGCTCACCCCTGCCCTCAGCACCGCGGCCCGGGGTGCAGCCGTCCCCCCGGCCGCCGAGAAGGGGCGAAGTGCCGGCCAGGCCTGCCCCTCCTCCCCAGAGACCCGCCAGCCCCCGCGGGGCCCCGCCGGAGAAGGCGCGTAATAAGAGGGAGGGGACAGCTCTGCGAACTCCCCTTCCCCGGACCCCCTCCCCAGCAAGTGAGCCTCTTGCCCTCGCCCCCCAAGGCCCCCCAGACTGGGGTCGTGGTGCCCGGGCTGCCCCGAGAAGCCCCTATGAGAGGGAGGGGGCGACACCCCCATACTCACCCACCGTCTCCTCCCCCTCAGCTGTTTACCTCACAGTTCTTCCAGCCGACAGGGCGCCGCCATCTTGGACGTACAGCACCTCCCCCGGGCGTGACGCGTCCACGGCGACCGCCGCCTCCGCCACGACAAAGAGTCCCCAGCGCGCGCGCGCTCCCACCTCGAGCCCAGCCACAGAGGGCCGCGGCAGGCCGCCCCGCTGGACGGGCGAGGGCGCCCCGCCTCAGGAAGCAGGGCGCGAACCCACGAAAAAAGAGCCGAAGCGGGTTGGGACGGTGGGGGGGCGGGGACGGGCGGAAGGATCCCGAAACGCGGCCGCAGAGCGATCTTGTGACTCCCAAGGAGGCAAAAAGAAGGGCCGGCGCGGCGGGCGGAGCCACGCGGGTGCGCGAGGGGCGGGGCAGGTCACGTGGCCCGGC